CCACGTCCACGGTCCGACTTTGGAAATAATTATGCATACAATGGACTTAGGACAAGGTGCGTTTCTATAATTTTTCCTACCATTATGACAAAGTTTCGAAAAGAAGGTCAAACAATTTCAATAAAATATTAACTTATTCGTTTTTTTACTATATTGTCTGATACAATCCGGAGAATTATTTTGTATAATTAGCATCTCGAGTCTACTTTCATTTCTTACATCTTTGGGTATTTTTCTAGATCATTTTGCTCTTATTTCCAATAATTCTATTTTTTCACCTCTATCATTTAATTGCCTAGTATTATTTAGCTAATTTTTTAAAATTTTTATTTTGTTTTGCTTCCACTTACTTCTTTTGGTTTCATTGCTCAAATTCATAGAGCATCTCTGAGCGGCCAGCCTCGTGCCATGATAAGCTGTTCTCTGTTCGCGATAAGGGTGAGTTTTTTATTCTTTTTATTCATGCGATCACTCCACATTTTTTTTTATTTTATCATTATTATATTTGTTCATCTGCATTCAAGAGCCATTTAGTAATCTCTTCTGGTTACCTTACTGACATATCGTAATATTAACAGATGTAATGTATCGCTTTGTTTTTTTCCAATCTTCCAGACTGTCATCGCACTGTTGCCTCGACTCCCACTCATCGAATAGCCCGAGCTACACAATCTCTCTCACCTATTTCGGATGGTATTGTTGATGACTCTGTCAGCAGTCAAACTCGACGCCATCGTAGTATATCTGGTTGCTGTCTAACCCTTACCCCAGCACGTACTAAAGAAAGCCAACTTGAGAATAGACACATTAAACCAATTACACTGAAGGAGAATGCCGTGGGTGTGGTAGAAGGGACCAATTTGAATGACTGTATTTTGCCATCTAATAATCCGAGCCACCGGGACTGCGAGATTTTTGATACTTTCGCAGAGCGAAACCGAGCTTCGGATCAGCCAGTTGTCAACACAATTATCACTAGAATAAACCATACTCCGACTAGTCCTCTAGATTCCATATCACTGTATGGTCGACATGACATTCAAGAAAATGGTAATGAGCCATTGCAAATTGAAGCGATCACCAGCACAAATGATAAGTCGGTTCATGAAGACTTTCCTCATAGACGACTTCAGGCTTCTTGTATCTCGCCCGAAACTTCATTGAGAAAGAGCCTGATTACACAGGATGGCTCAGGCATAATAGGTACTAGTCAAGACCTTTACAGCAATAGAAATAGAGGCGAAAACACCAATTTTGGTGACAAGAATTGTGCTGTCAATGAGGGTAACAAAACCGATCAAAAAGAAACTAAAAAGCGGCATGTTTCTATTGTGAATGTCGACCAACAAATCCCTGCGCCTTCTAATGAAGTGACACATGAAGACTTAATATCTTCCAGTACAAGCGAAGATGAAACTTTTGCTCCAGGCTCGCCGCGTGGTGTCTCTCCAACTAGACTGACAGACTGTTTAAACCAGTTGGTTAGATCCACACGTGGATGGCATCTTCAACAACTTGCTGATTTACATTCACTCATAGGACATCGAATATTGCTCGGATGGCGTGGAATAGCAAATAGGGCTGGTCTAGTTGAAGTAAATTGATCTCGATGCTAATAAGCTACATTTCAACCTTTTATGCCCCTTTACACATTTTCATTATTCTTTTTCCATTACAATTATAATCTAAGGACAATGGAGTCCAAATGTCATCATTAAATCGCAGTGACTTTTAATATAAGCTCATGATGTCGCTATTTTAGGAAAATTTTATAGTCAAACATTTTGGCTATGTTACGATTTAGACTTTCGAGGGTCTTCTGGAATTACCATGTAGAAACTATTCGTAAGAACTACCGTGATAAACTCCTTTGTGAGGCTTGAGGGCTAGTTACCTCCAGGAAAATTACACAGCTTGGTCATTAGAATATGTTATGACCCAGGTTCGGAAGGTTATTGTATATACCGTATTTCCCCATGTATAAGCACCCCCTTTGTATAAGCCACTTCCCAATTTTTTGACTGTGAAGTTTTGAAAAAATATTTTATTAGTGAAACAAGTTACAAAGAAAGAAAAG